TGCGATAGGCTATGAACGGTGTATCCGGAAAAACAGACCTAAGACGTTCTGTGGTCTGTAGGATGTTTCTTGGTAACCTAGGGTGATAGGTTGTGACCAGTGGCACTCTGGTCGATCGTTGGCGTGGTTTGTACGTCAGTGTTTGAGCACGAGGTATGTCCTTTGCTTTGTTTTTATAGCATTTTCAATGGGTCCTCGATGGTAATTTCTATTCCGGAGATGTCCGGATAGTTCTTCTGTTCGATTCTGAAAATCTAAATCCGAAGAACAAATGCGTCTCATGCGCAATGCTTGGCTGTACGGAATGTTTTTTGTACAGTATATATATATATATATATATACAGTATATATATATATATATATATTTGAAAATGATATTTAGAAGTCTATTCGATATTATTGTCTTCATACCATAATACTTGAATGTGATATTTATTTTGTCTACATAATTTCATTTATGCTAAAGTTATCTAGGCCTATATACTTTTCTTAATTTTTCTTGATGTTTCTTTTATTTCTTTTCACTTTCTCCATTATATTCATTTTCTTTTCTTTTTTATTTCTTTTCCCTTTCCAGTTTTTCTTTTCCGTTCTTCCTTTTCCTACCTTTAATTTTCTTTTCCGTTTCTTTCCCTTTCAATATTTACATATGTTTATATATCATTTGAAAATGATAATTAGCCATCTCATAGACATGAGTTCTATTCGATATTAGTGTCTTCACACCATTAATTTTAATATTTGATTTATGTTTATATAATTTCATTCATGCTAAAACTAGCTTTAATATAAATGATGTTTAATATCTGCATCATCTCTCTCCCTCTGCACTTGCTCTCAGACCATATAAAGCAGTTATTTACTTATTTTTTTTAAATTTTCATTACTTTCGATTGATTACCAATTTGTTATTCCTTAACAGTTTTCTTTTTTTTTTTAATTTCCATTTCTTTTATGTACCTTTCTTAATTGGCAATCATTCTGAAATCCAACGTGGCAGTTGTCGGACTTCTTTCTAAATGGTGTTACGTCACTGCCATAGGCAGGTCTCAATATGATTATGAGATGTTTGATGATTGCATGATATCCCTAATTATACATATACACAATCTTGATTCACAGTGCTGGTAGTTTACATATGTAAATATGAAAAAAAATTTGGCCGCCATCTTGATATCAAATATGGCAGCCATCTTGAAATTCAATATGGCGGCCTTCTGACATAATTTCTGATATCTGCATGATACTCCTGGATATCAAAAACACGAGTAGAGATTTTTGACAGTGCTAGGTGTTGTAGATATGACGATATTTACAACATTATCAATAATTAATTTGGCGGCCATCTTGAAATAGTATGGCGGCCATCTTGAAATAGTATGGCAGCAATCTTGAAATTTAATATGGTGGTCTTCTGACATATTTTCTGATGGCTGCATGGTAGTCTCTGATATCGAAAACATGGGCAACGGTCTTTGATTGACAGTGGTAGGTACTGTAGATATGAATATTGACAAAAATATAATTAATCTGGCGGCCATCTTGAAATCTAATATAGCGGCGCCATCTGACATAATTTCTGATGATTGCATGACACTCCCTGATATTGAAACATATGTAGTGATCTTCATTTGGCAATGACATGTGCTGTAGATATGAATATATTGGCTAAAATCAAATATTTTGGCGCCCATATTGGATTACAAGATGGTGACCACTAGGAGGCGTTATTTTTTGGGGTCTAATCTTTTTTTATTGATCTTTAGGTGTCACAGTATCACTGTGGGAAGTTTCATGCTTTCTTCCAGAAGTGCACGATTCTACCTGAAATTCAACCTTAGCCGCTCTACTACAGTGTCTTGTGATGTTGTGTGGTGTGGTGTCGTGTGATGTGATGTGATGTGGTGTGGTATGATGTAATGGTGTGATGATTGATGTGATGTGTGGTGTGATGTGATATGACTGATGTGTGGTGTGGTGTGGTGTGATGTGATGATATTTGATGTGATATGACTGATGCGATAACATGGTGTGGGATGTGATGTGGTAGATGCCATGTGATTTTATGTGATACGATATAATAGACTTATACAACATGATGTGATGTTATGTGATATGAAATGATATAATATAATATCATATTATATCATTTCATATCACATAACATGATGTGATGTTGTATGTGATATGAAATGATGTAATATGATATTGTTAAAATAACAATAATTATAATAATTTATTGTATAGCATTTTATATTGTATAGTTT